TAACCAGATTCATAATCAAAGAATAAAAACTACATTATCTGGAATTATTCGTCAGCCATTTCAGTTTAACATATTGTGTAGTTTACATTATTGTATTTGCATTAAGCATTCTCACTGTCGTTCATCTGAACATGTATGACAATGATAGTCATACAAATAATGCAAGCAAACATTAATCTGTAACCATGTAATATTCCTGTTTGTGTAAGGACCAATTCTGCTGAGAAAGCTAAAGAACCAGCGATAATTTACCTAAACGTTATTAACCAGTTAATATTTATAATGGAGATGCGTCTTATTCGTTTCAAGACGGACCTGAATTTTTATATACTGTGTACTTGTTTAGGGTTTCAAAGGGCTAACAAACGCGTCACATTATTAACAGTGGTATTTAAATTTCTCAAACATTGCTTTGAGTTTAGACAGAGTGCATATTATGCAGGGATCAAAATTTTCAACAGTCTACCATCTAATCTCTCAAGTCTTGTAAATAAAAAGACGCAATTTAAAACAGCATTGAAAAGATACTTAATTACACACTCCTTTTACTCTGTCGATGAATTCCTAATGTCTACAAGTAAGTCGTAATTTATCCTTTGTTTGTATTTTTGTGACATTTATATGACTTGTATTTGTATAAGGTATTGTATTATTATGACTTATTCTACATCCTATTGTCATCTGACTAACTTATGGATCCATGGAATGTAATAAAGATGTATGTATGTATGAAAAAGTAAGAGATGCCAAAAATGATGCATCAGAAGCGTGGCTGAAAGCAAAGCAGGAGATGCTATCTAATTTTCTACAGCTCATAGAACCAGAATTACGATGTAGTATCTGCAGTGAATTTTTTGTTATGGTAAGTTGCTTGATGTAAAGCCAGTACACGTTTTTGAATCCAGGTGTTTAACTATAATCAACAAGCCACATCATATAAACATCAATATATTTGTGCTAAAATTAATATATGCCTTGCTTATGACCATTCTCTTGAAGCATAAACAAGGCTCAAGAAACTCTCGAATAAA